CATTGCAGTGAACAGCATATTATACATAATTATTTTTGTTAAACTTAACTGACTCGTGTTATTATTTTCAAAATGTATTTATAAAAAATAATACATCAGTTAATGCGTAGTAACTTTACTAAATAATATTATTTATACTGATTTTGATTATTTAAGTGGAGATTGTTCTCTATACTCGCGTTTATACCACAAATGTAATATTACAGATGAGGACGAAATTGTAAAATGACCATAATATCATCATGATATATCGTGTGTCGTTCGTTAGCGAAATGTCTACAAAGAATTCATAAAATATAATAGTATATACATGAAATGTATAGATGAAATGACAAGTGTAAATACGCGTTAATCATTAACCACGTAAAAAAAACAATAATAACATATATATATATATATACCTTTACCGTCGGCCCGACGCACTTGTTTGTTCATGTATAACTACACAATATATTATTATGTACGCGTGCCAAACACGATACTATATACAAAACGGCTTGTAAATAGAAAATCTCACCGCTCGCAAGTGTTTTCGATAAAAAGTAGAGTCCGTTTTCTAAACTTCCGATTGCGCAATCTGCTCCCGAAAATGGGCATTTCGACTCTAGACAGTTAGCGCGTACTGCAAACAATATTATATTATACAAAGGTACATAAATGCATGAACCACGTGCGTGTAGGTACAATCGATCTATGGTTTATTTTGTGCATATAATGTGGACAAAATGTGGCGTAATTACGAAAAATTCAGAGGAAGGTACTTGTGACCGCGACGGTTATTTGAATGTCAATATTATTATACTCCCGACTCCTTAAATTTTATCACTTTTCTAAATCTTTTGGTTGGAACTAAAATGTAGTAATTGTACATATGCTGATCGACTTAATATGTTTCTATACAAGAATTATTAGCTAGTATATCATGTATTATAGGTACATCATTTTATATAATAATAATATAGATAATATAGGAATCTATAGCAGTTGCTATGATAATTATTATTTTTATACTCGTTTCTAATCTATACAAATATTAAGTATAAATATATACATAATGTATATATTATGTACTCACTGATTCAATGTTAGTTACATTGAACGATCTATTATAGCAGATCCAGAGAATAATGTTGTTTCTTTATCACTGCAACCTATTCCAAGCGTACCTATTATATGAATCACGGTTATTATAGCTGAGAGTAGTAGGTTTACCTAAGTGGATGAAAAAAAAAATTAAAACGTTTGTTTTACCGTTTCTAAAAAAATCTGAGTCGGCAAGTTCGTTTACAGAGCTTTAATTTATGCAAATATATTATATAGTAAACGCTAAATTATTAATTTCCGTTAAGTTTTCGAATGGTTACTTAAGTCCGAGTATGAGCCAAGTGTAGAGCGAAAATTGCGAGATCGTTTTGATGTATACACACATACTAAAATTAACTTTAGTAAAAATTATTAAGTACGCCTTTTTCAATATTCGGGTATAGCCATATATGCGTATACCGCTATATCTCTGTATAGGTAAACATAAGTACATGTATACTCCTTTTCTCGTTTTTTAGCTAGTGCACGAAGGGGGGACCAGCTGAACATTAATTACAGCATCACTTATTCAAATAAATATATATTACATATACACACATATATATTTAAATATTAATATTATTTAATAGTTGTTTATAAAGAATAGATATTTTTAACGTAAAAGGTGATTATTAGTTGGCATTACATATGACTTATCTTTTGACGATTTTAACTGATTTTCATTCGATGACATTAGTCAATGTCAATGTTAATTTTTTAACACTTCTACATAACAGTCATACTTGCCCAGTCACATAATCAAAATATACATTCTAATAATAATACATATAACAATATGATAAATAAACGTGTAACGTGTGCAATATTTTGGACACAACTAATAAGATATATAATGTCGGTATAATTTATATATGTATACGACCCAGATATCAGACGACGAATTTCGGAAATTTCAAAGTCAAAAATCAACTCGCGTTTGCCTTGACTCAAATAACAATAAAATAATAATAAACTGTGCGAACCTCGGCGCCCGTAGCTCCCAATCATCTGCCAGCTGGTACGCCTATATATACACATAATTATACACAAAATAAAACGAACGTATACATATGTATTATGTGCGTTTCTGTGTGTATGTGTGTGTTTTGTGGTTCCCGGAATGCACAATGGGAGAAAGTATAACCTTGTCCAGCGCAAGTTTTCCGCTACACGTAGTTTAATTTTTTTCGCACACGTGGGTTGTATATAATGTGCAATATACGGGGTGATTCATTTACGTAAGACATATGAGTTGTTATTAATTAAGAAAACATTTTTGAAAATATTATCTTTGCATAATTTTAAGTCATATAAAACAACATTTTTGAAAAAAAAAAAAACAAAGATATTTTTAATATTTTTTATTGTTACCTTTTTTGAAATATTTTACTCTTTTGAGTGATTACATATAATCTTATTTTCAATTCTATATTTCAGAAGAGAATACTATTCGAAGAGTACTTTGATCAACAAAAATCAGATTTCGCGCTAATAATTTATTAATAAAAATTATTTAAAGTTTAGATGAGTGGAATAATAGTGGGCCAACATTTTAAACCATGTACCACATTCCAGTAATTTTTAAATAGCTACTTAAAACTCAAAAATTGCTCATTTAAAAATCGATTTTTATATATTGAAGTACTCAAAAAAATATTCTGTTTTGAAATAAAGAATAAAAAATGCATGTCAAAAAAAAATTTAATGATAAAAATTTTAAAATATATATCAATTTTTTAGAAAAATGTTTTTAACTACTTAAAATTATGTAAAAATATTATTTAAAAAATTTTAAATAGTTTTTGAAATAATATGTATCTTATGTTAAATAAATCACCCAATTTACTTGCAACCATGACTACAATTTGTAAGTACTCGTATCTTTGTGATTGGGTTTTATTGATATGTCGCCTGAATGTGTGTGCCGGATTTTTTGTTTTCGTTTAATTCCTCGTCGGTGGTCATACTACCAGAACAACATAAAATTTTTCACTAACCTTTACGTTTGTCATTAGATACTCTATGTCTATCATTAAAATCGTTTATTATTCATCATGCACAACGTTTACTCATAGCTAAATTGTTGACTTTCGAGTCGATTACCTATATTTATCTATAGATACCCGCCACTAAGAAGAATGTTTATTTAAATTTTTAATTTCAAATCTACGCACATTTCAAAGAATAGCAATATTATACAGTGTAAATCGGCTTACGCAAAAACCGGTCAACGCTTTTTGGTTTTTAAGGCGGATCCTCGTTTGGCCTGTTTGCAGGGTATGCATACATAATTTATTCGCCATTTTCAATTGAACTAATTAAGTGTATCCATGTATACACACGTCGATTATTGTAAATTCAAAAAGAAAACTGACACGTACAAAGTACTAAGTGTATACATTATTGTAAATAGATTTTGAAATTTTATCAAAAACAAAAGTATACAATAAACGTTTAAAACCACATGACCGTTCGGAAACTATCTATAGTGTATAATAATATTATATATCTGATCGTAAGCGCGTTTATAGTGTGTAATAATTTAATAGTCGAGCGCACAATATTGTTGATTTGATAGTTATTTTATAAGCTCTAAAACAACAATAATAGCTAATACGACAAAATTTAATACACCTATGTATATAGGTACAAATCGTATTACTATAGAACATGTTATTTGAGCGTATATTTGAAATACCCATGTCTGCGGACTTCTCCTCCACCAATATCCATTCCCCCCTCTAGTACCGGACTCGTTCTTGAGCACATTTTTATCCACGTACATATGTCTATAATATTATTACGGTACACACTAGGTAAACCGATAAACTGTTTTAACCGGTAACCAGTCTCGGTACAACGTTATTCGTTTTTTTAATATTCGTATAAGTCTATAAAATTACATTATACGAAACCCAAGTCGTCCCCGTCGTTCGGGTTTCGCCACGGGCGAGTGGTGCGGCGGCGTCGAAGGGCGGGGTGGGGTCATCGCGTCGCTTTTAATAATATTATCCTCTCCTCTTCCTCCTCCTCAAGCTCATCGTCCTATCTGCGACGCTGTTCTTTATTATTATTATTATTATTATTATTATTTTAAATTTTACGCACAACACTTACTATTCTAATATACACTATATTATTATTACATTATTTAAGTCCGATATACGGGCCACACGAACGTATCTCCAGAACGACGTATCACACACACGCGCACGCTCGCCATCGCGTAACATCGTCTCACGAGAGCGTATTGTATACGATAATTTTTTTTGCAAAAAAAAAACCGGTTCACGACCGTCGACAGAACCGCAAACGTGTGCGTGTCGGTCGTCGGTTCGGCAGAGGAACGCGGCTCGAGAAAATTACGCACAATAATATCGCGTGTACGCAGCACCTATTTGTAATATTATTATTTGGGCATACGTTTTCTGCAGCAGCGCGCGAGTTCGAGTATTGTATCGTTTGTTAACAGTAAATATTTGAACACACGAACGTTTCACGACCGTTTCGATCGGGCTCGGATTTTCTAGTAAAATAAATCACCTAAAGAGCAATCTATTAGTGTCGGAAATAGCATTTACCCGTTTGTTATTATAAACGTGAAAAAAAAACAACAAAAATATAATAAATAAATAAAGTTAAGTCCACTCCGATTTCAATCGGTACAATACGGACCTAACGGATTTACACTTAAGGTAATGCGTAGACCGTTTAAGAGCCCTTTAACACGATAAAAGTGATTTAAATGCAATAGAAAATGTAATGTGCCGGCGCCAAAAAAAGTCATTCGCTACGAACTCCGAGCCTTTACTAACAATTATTCACACTATAACCGTGTTTAATATCATTATTTTCGTTACCTGTATTTTGTCGTCATCATTCGCTAATCGTTACTCGTCTGTTGACGTTTTCCGCAGGTCGTCTTGATCGTCGATCGCAGCGACAGCGACAGCTACAACCGCAGCGGTTAGACAACGCGTCAACAGCGACAGCGCCGACATGGTGGCGTCCGCCGACCGCCGCGAGAGTTTCGGCGTGGACAGCAGCCTGTTCAACCCCCGAAAGTCGACCAAAACCACAGGCAACAAACAGGGCAAGGATGCCAACGCCAACAAGGGCAAGCAGTCGTCCGACGTGGCCGTGTACACGATATCGGTGGTGGGCGGCTACGAGAACCAGGGCTTCAAGCGGGACGACATGATGCAGTCCGGCGACGGAGACCTGGCCAAGCCACCGCTCGGCAACATGACCGACGGTGACGGTGACGACGACCAAGCCAAGGGAAAGTTCAAGATGTCGCCCAAAGAGAAGTGGCGAATCCTCAAGAACGTGTCCACCATCAGCCTCGCGTTCATGGTCCAGTTCACCGCGTTCCAGGGCACGGCCAACCTGCAGAGCTCGATCAACGCCCGCGAGGGCCTGGGCACCGTGTCCCTGTCCGCCATCTACGCGGCGCTGGTGCTCAGCTGCATATTCGTGCCCACGTTCCTCATCAAGCGGCTGACCGTCAAGTGGACGCTATGCCTGTCCATGCTGTGCTACATACCGTACATCGGTGCCCAGTTCTATCCGCGGTTCTACACGCTGGTGCCCGCCGGCGTGCTCGTGGGCCTGGGCGCCGCGCCCATGTGGGCCGCTAAGGCAACGTACCTCACGCAGACCGGGGCCGTATACGCCAAGCTCACCGACCAGCAGGTAGACGGTATCGTCGTCCGGTTCTTCGGATTCTTCTTCCTGGCTTGGCAGACGGCCGAGCTATGGGGCAACCTCATCTCTTCGTTGGGTATGTACCTAGTATGTTTAATATAAACTCAAAACGTCTTACAGTGACGTAATAGAGGTTATTGGCTAAGTACATGTTTCAAAGTTTAAACATTTTACCGTTAAAAGTCTATCAAATAAAAAGTACTCTTGCGTGCTCATTTTTCACTCTAATCGAATAATCAAATATCTTCTCAAAGCCATATTACTAACCGTATTTATAATTCTAACCTATTTTTTTTTCTTTTTATAATTATACCCGCTCAATTCGTTTGCATAACGTATTATTTATAATATGTATTATAAGGTCATTGATTGATCTAGTTTTTAAGTTAAATGCGATAGAAATAACATTTTTACCCGAACGTTATTGTATTGATGATGATAATTTGCTTACAAAAAAAAAAAAAAAAAATTTGGAAAAAAAATTACGATGAATTTGCATAATTCATCATAATTATATAGAATGCACCGCCATATAAAAGCGAGTGCTGCATATGTAACCGATCCGCTGCAAGTCGGTGACACCTGATCGACATGCCATTAAACACTATACCCGGCTACAATTTTGCGGTTTTATCGTTTAAATTAAAATCAAAATGGTCATTAGATATAAGATATTACTATTATTAGTGACTCATTCGTTTATTTATCATAATAAATAATATTAGATATGCACACACGACCGTAAACTAATGCATGTTAAACCGTTGGATCAAGCTAATAATCATTCGCCGAACACTCGGAACTGTAAATCGAAATCAATTAACATGACACATATATATATAGTCATTAAATCATGTTCTATACATACGTATATAATGGTTATATGTACTTATATTATGTATTATTAAATTACTTGCATTTGTTGTAAAACACTTTTTAGACCGCTGCAAGTATATATTCACCACCTCCCGTTTTCACGCCTTACCATCCCATTTACAAATGTCAAGGCGAAATGTATAATAATCATTATCTATATATATATATATATATACGTGTATATTGTTTGGTCTCGACACCGTTGTTCCCTTCCTCTTTTGCGGACCGCTCTATTGCCATCTATTAACTTCAACTATAGTTTTATTGTATTACTGTATACTGTATACACTGTTATATTATATTAAATATTATTTGACTTTAATCGTTCTTACGGCGAGCCTTCTTACAAAATTTATGTGTCACGAATCCCAGCCATAATGTATATACCTGTGCTTAACAGAAATCATTAAATATGACCTATAGTATCGTTGTCAAATCAGAAGACATTCTACGAATAAAAGCATCAATGAAAACAATATAAACCTTTTGAATTCTCTGACCCGAACATTATTATTATTTCGCAAATGCAATTCTTACCGATAATTGCTAGCGCTATTCGAAATCGATTAACTCCGACGTCTGTTTACATTTTGCAATAACCCTGAATAACGGTTACTCGCAGTCCTAATTTCTATCCGATCCAAGAACAAATTTCCACGTTAGAACATAATATTTTATACACTACACGTAAACGTGACATTTTGTCACGGCAATTTGTTGAAATCCTGTATGTGCAGCAGTTTTATATGATCGCCATAAATCTAAATATTGTTCGGTTGATTTATTGTATGGTGAGACTGCGTCTTTTGAAAATCTCACGGTTAATGGGTATTTAATATTCCCTATATTAATGCAAATAAAATAACTGAAACGTAAAGGGACCAGAGAGACCTTGTAAGACTTATAAAACACATACGTAATATTATTTCTAATCTAACTATACAATGTTTTTATGATATTATGGTCATTATGATTATTCTGACGTAACGGAACTTTTCGTTTGTGCACAGTATTATCTAGCGGTGCCCACGGTGGTGGTAGCGGCGACAACAGCACGATGCTATCGGAAGAGGAATTGCGACTGTGCGGTTCAAACTTTTGCGTGATGGGAAACCACGCTATCGACAATCTGGAAAGGCCGCCAGACTCGGAGATATTCGAAATAAGCACCATATACCTCTCGTGCATAGTACTAGCCACTATCATAATAGCCATTTTCCTGGATCCACTTTCCAGGTAAATCTTTCATTTTATTTTTTAGAAAGCTTTTGGTGATATTTCGATAGAGTTCAATGTTATTTTTCAATTTTGGAAGACTGACGTTATGTGTATTTGTAAATAATACTAAGAGTAATATAATATGTTGCATATTGATTATGCAGTTGCTTACTTAAACATCAAACACCATATTACTTTTATTTAAACTAGTACACATTATACTATGATAATATAATATTTTATTACAACTACGAGATAGTTTAAAGTAATTACAGTATGTGATATGAGAGTTGATGACGGGTATATACTTTATGTATATAACTAATTAACCAGTTCAAAGTCGAAAAGAAGTTGGGATCGATTTCGTTGATAAATATACTCGATTTGCTCAAACGTTTGCAGCAGACAACGATCTTTCTTGCCGTCGATTACTCGAATGAAAGTTTACAACTCCTAGCGATAACTTAAACGAGGTAGATGAGGTTGATCTTCTGCGTGAAAACCAACGATTTTTATGTTTAATTTGATTGATTCGTTAGAACCAACAACAAAAATAATTTTTATTTTAAATTATACAATGATAAACAAATGTTTATAATTATGATCAACCAACGTGATGTATACAAACCAATCAGAAATTAGTGTTCCCGAAAAAAAAACGATTAGTATACTCTCGTCAATTTCATAACACATAGAATGTTTGATTAAACTATACCTATAATTCATAGTAAACCAAACAGCAATAATTATTAATAATGCTTTATTTACATTTACATTTGTTCGTGTTTATATATACAATTTACGTACTTACGTCGCGTTTTATCAATAATACCAAACATTTTTGTGCCAATTCAAATTTTCGGCGTAATTTGTTCACCATATCTCCTGTATGTAATAAGTCTACATTTCATAGACTTATATGAACATTTATGTATTTAATCTTTCTCTCACACACACAGACACACTTACATAAACTCTCAAATATCCTAATATTTTGTATATACCCAATAGTCAGTACTCGCGTACATCGAAGTGCGCATGTATAATATTTCAATAAATATATCTTCGGAACCGGATAGGATATTATTTTGATTTAAGAGTCAGATTTGACCTCAGCACGAACAAGGCAAAACACGTACTTATCTTGCATTGTATATACTATAAGACTCGTTTGCATCGCTCGTTCTTATTATCGTAAAACAATACGTCTTTGTATTATGCACTCTCGTAACTTATTTTAAATACCTAATACACACGCACACACACTCACATATATATTATATAAACCTGAAAAGTTATTTGACCTTGGCGATGGTCTATACCTGATTTTTCGACACAATTGTAACGCGGCCCGTGTTAAAAAATGTGCCCATCGTATTGGCGGGTTATACCGTTATCGAACAATCACCTTTAAATCTCCTAAAATTTATTTTGTGCTAAAACGATTTCACTATTATAGTTCAACACACGTCTTACTTTGATTTTTGCACTACTGCTAATCGATTTTTACTCACCTATCTATTAGGTAGACTCTTATGTAGGTTATATAAAAAATATGACAGCGTTTTTTAATATTTAAAAAAAATTCAAATTGTATAATTTAAATAAACCAATCTACCTATTATACATTTATGTCTATTGTACTGTATAGGTAAATGTATAACAAATGTAAAATAAATTATTTAAATGTTAAGTATAAACATACAAATTATTATTTAAATATTTACGTTTTCAAAATAAAAATAAAAATATTTTTTGTATTAAAATGTAAAAATTCCAAATCAGGTTAAAATTGTTTAGGTACTTTAATCGTGTACCCATACACCACATAAAGAATACTAGTAAATAAACTGTGTATTCTCGTAATAAAAGTTTCTTCAGTTATAAATATTTAAAAACTAGGACAATTTTTTCGAGTATAATATTTCAAGTTCGATCTACAATGAATTTTTTGTACATTTTCTGGATATGTACTGTGTTATGACATACAAGTATATAACTAAATAATATGAATAATTGACTAAATTATCTATAACAGAAAGTAATTTACAGCTTGAATAATTATATCTTATAATGATATGTATATGTACATAAAATTACTACGAATAATGTAAATACTTATTTAAAGTTTATCAAAAAAAAGACTGGGGGAGATACGTAAGTTACAATATACATACGACATACGTATATTAAACAACTACCTATATAATAATAACATTACAAACTAATACCTATATATAAATGTATCTAATATACAATTGCAATTCAAAAATAATAATAATAATAATAGGTACCAACTACCTATACAAAAAAACTAAGAACTTCTTTTGTAAAAAATAAAGTAATTTTAGATTGAAATTACTCGGTCTCATAAATATTTATAAATAGTGCGATGATAATTATTCATTAGCCAAAATATAATACGGTTCAAAATACAATATAATATAATGTACACCTATCTACTACAAAGTGTAGTGCAAGGGGGCGACGCATGTATTTAAAATTTTAATATTAGGTTGGATTTTGCAAATAGGTACTGTACGATTGTACTTAACTTTTACTACTGTACAAAACATAATATTGCTGCGTATAGATTTCAATAGTTTATTTATAAATTATCCACTAAAAACATAGGTATCAATACACATAACAAGCATTGATAGAAAAGTATATATGGTGTTCATCACACAGCAATGTATTAATATTACTATATTATAATCGGTCGCCTTCGAGTTACGCATTCTCGGGAATAGACGTCTTGCCTCAGGATATCGCGATTTACGAGTTTTTTTTTTAATCTTGTCGCGGTTTTTATTTTTTTTTATTTTTTGACTATTTATTTAATTTGTTTTTTTTTTTTACTTTTTATCGCTCCGAGGTGTGCGTGCCTGCACTAATTTAAATTTACTATATATACTACCTATATAATACTATAATATATTTATATTATTATTACGCTTCTGATTGCGTCTACGCGGAATCCTGAGTCTAGAGGCAATCTGGATTTGGCGAATAAATAAATAAATGAATAAACAAAGAAAACACTTGACCGCGAAAACGAGATAACGGCGAGCAACAATAAAATATATTCATTATCCAATACAACCGTACGACATAATATAATTATATAACTAAAAAAAAACACTAACAACACGATGGATACTACATCGATAAATGTAAATGTATAATATAATAATAGCCTTGATACTATAGTGTAAAGTTTTTTTACACTCCGCTAAGTCTAAAAATAAATCGTTAAGTGAACATTGTTTCATAAAATTAAAGTTCAAATTTGACGTCGTCTATTATTCGGCAATCCGTTTTGTGTAACGTGATTTAGTTTTTTTTTTTTTTTAATTATATTGTTGACATTTCACCTAATAATAGAAGTTTTGATATCCATTTATGTTAATTTCATATACAAACTAATAGATAAAATATTCTTTTATAACCTTTCACACAATTTATTATCTTAAGAAAAAATGTTGTCAATTAAATAGTATGATAATTGTAGATTAAGTTATATAATAAATTAATAATAAATAAAAATTGGCTTAAAAAAACAATGTTCAACTAAAAATGAAAAGATCAATTTTAACAATATAGTTATTATATGATTTAAAAATATTTACTTATTATATTATGACGTATATATAATTTATACATAGGTTATATGCAAAACACAAATATTTTTACCAGTTGATAATTTTTGAGATTAATAAATGTAAATACTTAAATGTGTCGAGTTATATATAGACATTTATTAAGATAATATTACGATTCATTGTACTTCTCTACTCCTATGCGGGAAAGAGGTCGATTCGTAATCATGAGAAAATCATCTGAAAGCATATTTCATAAGACATAGGTACGTGTATGCATATAATCAACTAAAAAAAAAAAAAATTAGCTACAGGCAATCCTATATACAAACGCCAATGGACGAATGTGACTTTGTTTGGGGTTAAATAATTTCGCGTGCACAAAAACGCGCTTCAATAGTAAATAAAATAAGGAACACAAAACAAAAAACAAATAATAATAAACATAAGATAATATGTGCGGTATGCGCCAGCTCGTCTTCGATATATGCGTTAAACACGGGCATAAATAAATATGTGTATAGGTATAATAGGTAAATTATAAATATATTATTATTATATGTACGGAGAAAGTCGTAGGCACCAGCACTGCGTGTACACAATAATAATGATAATGATTGTAATGTCCATTGTCTACAGTCGTAGTTATGACGGGTGAAAAGTGGTAGGGGTTGGAAATACAGAGAGGTTTGTTTTCGCACTGATACGAAAACGCAGCCTTCGACGAATCTGCGAACATTTAGAAACGATAGGCCTAAATACATATGAGACAGCCAGTATTTATTACATATTTACATATAAGTTTTAAAGCAAAAGTAAGTTTATAGGTATGTATACAATTATACAGTCTCAAACACGGTGAAAAACTGCAGTAAACTTATACAAACCCATGAACACGTGTTTAATATTATACATCGTATGTGTTTATACTGCATGCAAAGTGATTATTTTAAAATTTCCCGAGGGAGAGGATAAAAGAAAAATGATTTAACAACAAACACTAGGATATATTTTGATATAATAATATGGATAATGGTTGTAGACCGGATCGAAATCTCGACGCGGAAACGCGCGAAGTCGGTTAGGCGCGGGCGTCGTGTTATAATAATGATGGTAAAATACGTGTAAATTATAAATCATGTGTCAGGCTTCTATTTTTGTTGTCCAAGAAAACGTGACCGAACGACACAATAATTATTGTGTTAATATTATTATGAAAGCGAAAATAGGAAGGTGTTATACATTCTAATATACAATTTAGTTACATATTATTATTATAATATGTGTGGGATACAATAGTCTCGTGACAATAAATAATATAATATTAAATATACGTACATTTTTTTTTCTACGGACACTTTTAAAAAAGCTCAGACAATTTCGCATAGCACCTCAATACTAAACACGTAATCAATT